CACCTCTGGAAGGCGAGAAAGTTTAATGTCTGTTTCTTCTCAGTGGCTGGAGGGAACCAAGCCAAATCCCTTTGGGAGCAACTTCAAAGAAACTCTTTACATGCCCCTTGGCTCTTTTGATTTCATTGCTGGAGGAAGCCAAAGAGGGACTGGTTTAGAGGAGCCCTCTGGGCTGGCTAGCCCGGGGTTCAAATCCCTTGGCTATGGGGCCTGCCTGGCTTTCTTCCCCAGACAAGGAAGTCCTGGAGTCACACACACACACCCCACTGAGCGGCTCTTCCTCCCAGATCGCCCCCTGGTGCCCAGAGGCTGCAGTGACCATCTTGGGTGCTTTGCCCTCTGCTGCCCTCTGCTGCTGAGAATCCATAGGCTTTGGCTCCAATGAAGGAGAATAGTTGCAGGTTAGAGATGAAAGGAGGGGTCCCCGTTGCTCTCGGAGCTTGGTGGTTTCCTCTGAGATCTTTTATTACTCAACTAGGTAACCTCATCAGTGCTGGAGAGGAGGAGGAGGAGGAGGAGGAGGAGAAGAAGAAGAAGAAGAAGGAGAAGGAGAAGGAGAAGGAGAAGGAGAAGAAGGAGGAGGAGGAGGAGGAGGAGGAGGATGAGGATGAGGATGAAGATGACTGTGGGGTCCTTGTTGCTCTCTGAGCTTGGTGGTTTCCTTTCAGATGTTTTATTACTCAACTAGGTTATATCATCAGTGTTGGAAGGGAGGAGGAGGATGTGGTCTTTGCTGCTCTCTGAGCTTGGTGGTTTCCTCCGAGATCTTTTATTACTCAACTAGATAACCTCATCAGTGTTGGAAAGGAGAAGGAGGAGGACGAGGACGATGAGGTCCTTGGTGTTTTCTGAGCTTGGTGGTTTTCTTGCAAATTTTTAATTACTCAGCTAGGTTATATCATCAGTGCTGGAGAGGAGGAGGAGGAGGAGGAGGAAGACTGTGGGGTCCTTGGTGGTCTCTGAGCTGGGTGGTTTCCTTGCTGTTTCATGGCTGAATGAGGGAACATCACCATGGCTAGAAGGGAGGGAGGTTTGACAAGAGGAGGAGGAAGAGGAGGAGGAGGAGGAGGAGGAAAAAGGATGAAGACTGTGGGGTCCTTGGTGGTCTCTGAGCTTGGTGGTTTCTTTTCAGATGTTTTTATTTTATTTATTTATTTTATTTTGTCAAGTGATTATAAGATAACAGGGATAAGTATAAACATAGTTATGAATACAAGAAATAGATACATATAAGAGAAATAAAAGAAACAATAGGACGGGGACGGTGGGCACGTTGGTGCGCTTATGCAGGCCCCCTTACAGGTCTCTTAGGAAAGCGGGGAGGTCAATAGGAGACAGTCCAAGGTTAAAAGTTTTGGGGGTTTATTATTCAACTAGATAAACCTCATCAGTGCTGGAAGGGAGGGGAAGGAGATTAGGGGATTGGAGGCTAAAACATATGAAGAACTGTTGCAGGAATTAGATATGCCTAGTTTAATGAGAAGAATGACTAGGAATGACATGATCGCAATGTTCTAGTACCCGAGGGGCTACCACGGAGAAGAAGGGGTCCCCCTCTCCTCCAAAGCGCCAGAAGGCAGGACAAGAAGCAACAGATAGAAGTTAACCAAGGAGAGAAGCAACCGAGAACTGAAGGCGCTTTTTCAAGAGGCAAAGCTGGACTGAAGAAGCTCCTTGGATGAGAAGCAAAATGTCTTCAAAGAAAAACCAGAAAGTCCAGCTGCCTCTTGGAAAAAAAAGGACCTTTGGGACAACTTTTAAAACGAAGGAGAAGTTTCCTGACAGGACGAGCAATGAACCAGCGGAAGAAGGGAAGTTGCCTCCAGAGGTTGTGGCTGCTCCATCACTGGAGGTTTTCAAGAAGAGATTGGAAAAGGGACTCCTGCCTGAGCAGGGGGTTGGACTAGAAGACCTCCCAGGTCCCTTCCCACTCTCATTCCTTCAAAGGAACCTAGCCTACGCCTTGATCAGCACAGTCTGCCCGAGAAAGTGGGCGAGCCCCCAGGTGCCAAGAGGCCAGCTGCAGGCGCCTTGGGACGCCACGTACAGCAGAAGCTTTGAGAGCGCACGTCCATCCCTGACCTGTTGGGTGGGCCTTCAGCCCATCCACCCCGTGGACTGACGCCTTGTTCGGCTGCGGGGAAGCTTCCTTGCTCCGGCTCTTGCAACCCAGAGTTACTCTCAGCCAGCCTGCCTTGCAGAAGATCCGCCAATCTGGAAGTTTGCTGAGGCTCCACAAGACTTTCCCCAGGTAATACTTTCATCTCCCAATATTTGCCTCCAAAAGGAGGCAGCCGGTCCCCCTTTACGCAGGGATTTCCCCCATCTGAGCTTGGTTGTGTTTTTTCCTTGCAGAGGATTCGTTACTCAAACTAGGTAACGTCATCAGTACTCATGACCACCTATGATGTTCCCTACTTTGGGTCGTGAAAGGTCTGCAAGAAAACCATAAACAGAAGGACAGACTCAAGATCACGTGGAGGGTTAATTTCACTTTATTAAGGCCACACTTGGAGTACAGCATCCAGTTTTGATTGCCACAATGTAAAAAGGATGTTGGGACTCTAGAAAGAGGGCAGAGAAGAGCAACAAAGAAGATTAGGGGACTAGAGGCTCAAACATATGAAGAACGGTTGCAGAAACTGGGCCTGGCTAGTTTGATGAAAAGAAGGACTAAGGGTGACATGATAGCAGCCTTCCAAAATCTCAGGGGCTGCCCCAAAGAAGAGGGAGTCAAGCTCTTCTCCAGAGCACCTGAAGGCAGGACAAGAAGCAATAAGGATGGAAACTAGTCAAGGAGAGAAGCGACTTAGAACTAAGGAGGAATTTCCTGACAGACAGAACAATTAACCGGTGGAACAACCTGCCTCCAGAAGTTGTGGAGCTCCAACACTGGAAGTTTTTTAAAGGATGTTGGATGACCATTTGTCTGAAGTGATGTAGGGTTTCCTGCCTAGGCAGGGGGTTGGACTAGAAGACCTCCAAGGTCCCTTCCAACTCTGTTATTCTGTTCTAGTCTAAAAACAACTGAGCACCAAGGACCCCACAGGCCTCCTCCTCCTCCTCCTCCTCCTCCCCTTCCTCCTCCTCCCTACTAGACCTGATGATGTTACCTAGTTGGGTAATGAAATGTTTGAAAGAAAACCACCAAGCTCAGAGAGCACCAAGGACCCCACAGGCCTCCTCCTCCTCCTCCTCCTCCCTCCTAGTACTGATGATATTCCCTAGTTGGGTAATGAAACATCACCAGGGACTGGGAGTTCTAGACCTGCCTTAGGTGCTGAATGTTGCATTTGCCTTCGTTGGAAGTATTTGCATTATTTTCAGGCCAATTTTCACTTGTGTCTTTCCTGTTCCTGATTTCTGGGGTGTTAGACATTCTCCTCTTTTGGGTCACCCACAGATTGATCGACATCCCATCCATTGAAATGATTGATAAAAACAAAACAAAACACGGTGGGACCATTTGTCTATGTTTGTTTCCTGCTTTCAAAGAATCAGGTGTTTAGTGTCCGTCCCCCGCAAAAGCCTTTGATCCTCCACCAGGAACAGAAAGTAGGTGCGGTGCCTGACCTAAACCTGGAGTTTCTTCCCTTTGCAAAGGGCCATTTTTACACGCACGATGGACAAGATGTTCTCTTCACTCCCAAGCTACTCAGTTCAAAGACTCCAGAGTCCTCCTACTCTGAGATGCTGTGATCTCTGAATTTAAGCCGTTTCACAGGCAACCTGGAGGGAAATTTCGTTCCCCTGAAGTGGTGTCGGTACTTCTCCACTGTCAAAACCCCCAAGAGGGAATTTTGATCCGGAGCCTCCCTGAAACAGGACTGCGAAAAGCACGGCCAACGGTTTAGATGTTGAGAATTGAACGCTTCCGGTTCGGTTAAGATGCCTTCGCTGAATGCTGAGGAACTTTGCTTTCACTAGAAGAGAATATTTGCACAAACCAGAGGTGATGAATTCATCCGGTTCAGACCGGTTCTTGAGAACCGGTAGCAGAAATTTTGAGTCATTCGGAGAACCGGCCGATCCCACCTCGGACTGGCCCCGCCAATCTCTTCCCTGCCTCCCATTGAGTCCCAGCTGATGGGCTGTGTCTCCTTTGGTTTCCCTGCCCAGGAGAAGGGAGCTGGAAAGCAGGTTGGTGGGGTGGGGAGAGAAGGGGGATCCCCCAAAATATTTGTCGCTGTGCGCAGAGGCTGTCGCTTACTTTAGTCCTGAAACGTCTGCCAGACAACAACCGAGCTCAGAGAGCGCCAAGTACCCCATAGTTCTCCTGAATTGGGACAGGAAATTCTGCTTGGGAAGAGCGGGCTGGACTATAAAATCTCCAAGGTCGCTTCCAGATGGATTCTGGTTCTGATTTGGATTCCTCCTCCTCCTCTTCCTCCACTGCAGAGACCCCACTCCCAGATGTTTGGTAATGAAACGTCTATAAGATCACCATGATCAGGGAGCACCAAGGACCCTATAGCCCTCCTCCTCCTCCTCCTCCTTCTTCTCTTCCTCCTCCTCTTCCTCCACTGCAGAGACCCCACTCCCAGCTGTTTGGTAATGAAACACCTGTAAGAGGACTGCCACATTCAGAAAGCACCCAGGAGCTCACAATTCTGTTTTTTGTCCTAGGAATTACTGAGTTTACCAATCGCGCTGTGCACTCAACCCTTGCTTGGTGACTGAACCTTAGCCTGAGCAAGATTTCGATTCTGCTCCTTGTACTCATGACGTCCGTGGCCATGTTCCTTCTCTGGGTTTCCCTGGTCCTCTGGGCTAAGCTCTGCATGACCTCTGGAGACCTTGGTGAGTGAGGTCAGCTGAAGGGGAAGGGAAAAAGGCTGGGGGTGGGGGGTTTCAGACTCCCTCCTTCCTTTCTTTTCCCAGCTTTCGAACCCAGGGCTCCCTTGTTGTACCGACTGGGATTCCAATTTTTTTACTAGCGGTTCCGTGGGCAAAGCTTCATGGTCATGGCTTGGCTTGGTGGTCATGGCAGGGGAAGGAGACTGTAAAATCTCCAGTCAGGTGTGGTATTTGCTGGTTCTCCCAACTACTCGAAATTTCCGCTACCGGTTCTCCGGAACCGGTCTGAACCAGCTGAATACCCACCTCTGCTACTTTCTGTCCAGGAATCTGCATCCTCCCTCCTGACGGAGGCCTCTGCTACAACCTGCGAGAACGGTGGTACTTTGACTACGAGAAGAAGACCTGCCTGCCCTTCTCCTGGACCGGATGCGGAGGAAATGAGAACAATTTCGAGAGCTGGCCTGAATGCCAGAAAGCCTGCAGCCGCTACGGATAAGTGGGGGAGCTGATCCCACCTGGGCGGAGCAGAAGCTGTGGGATCAGACCGTCTAGCAGGGAGTCCTCACTTCAGCTACTTTAAGGCGTGTGGACTTCAACTCCCAGCATTCCCCTGGCAGCAAAGCTGTAATATGTAACCTGCCAATCATAACCATCAAAGACCAGCTTTGATTTAGAATGTATCCCACTTGGTTGCAATGTTCCTTAACACATTTCTTAATGGTTAATTTTTGTTTCATTTGTGAACGTCTGGAATGTCTTTTTGATCCAGCAGAATTAGCACCGTTGATGGTCCCAATTCACTCTACATCTGTTCCCCGACCTTGATCTATATGAGCATATGGAGGGAGGGAGGGAGGGATGAGGAATACATTTATGGATGTGATGACCCAGGGCGTGGCATAAAGGCAACACAGCCAGAGAACAGGTATGAGTCTCTTTATTTGCTCCAACTTGCCTTCAACGTCCCGTTTACTCTCCGGCCTGGAGGAAAGCTCTCCCACAAACCTGCAACAGTCTTTGGCTGCTGACACTCCAGTCCAAATTTTGTAAGCAGACTGACTGCAATTAATCACTCCGGCAGGGCAAGATAATGAATCCAAGAAGAATCACGGTAATAATTCCGGCAAGGCAAGATAAGCACAACAATCATTCAAAGTCAGGAAGAAGCCAGGAATGCAGGCCACAACTCTCAATGCTGGATGAATTTAGCATTTGTTCCTGGAAAATGCCCCTCCCACCTCCCTCCCCAGGTGTGCCTTGTGAAGGGAATCGGGGCCCTTTCCTCCCCCGTAAGCCATGCAACCCACGTTGCTCCCTTCTCCGTTCCTCCCTGTGTGCCCTTGGATGAAGAGGGGATGGGCCTGGGTCTTCATCTGAACCCCCTCTCCCTTGTTCTCCCTCTTCCCAGCTCTGCCCAGCCTGACTTTGCCCTTCCCCAGTTTCCTCCACAGCCAATGGAGCCACACTCCCGCTCCCTGTCAGCTGTTCGTCTTCCCCCTCAAATTCAGACTTCGATGGGGGCATGACAATGGATGGCTGGAGAAAGAGAGAGAGAGAGGGATGGATGGATGGATGGATGGATGGATGGAGAGAGGTAAATAGAGATAAAGGGGTGGATGGGTGGATGGAGAACTGAAAAGGTGGAGAGAGGTAGATGGAGAGGGAGGATAGATAAATGGATGGATGGATGGATGGATGGATGGATAGAGAGAGGTGGGTGGGTGGGAGGATGAATGGATGGATGGTTGATGAAAAGAG